GATTTTAATCCTACAAATGAATGAGTCCTACCTGAAAGTAATGAACACATAGTAACAATGAAATATGAACATAATAAGTAATAATAGTTTGGCATAAGAATTCCCTAAATTTGAGCCATGCCTGTACTGTCAGCACTGAGTAGGCTGAGGCAGGAAGTTCTCAAGTTTGAGGCCAGTCTGGACCAACATAGTAAGACCCTGCCTCAAAAGAACAAAAAATAAAAACAAAAGAATTTCTTAAATTTACAGCAAACTACATGACCCTGCGGAAGTCTCTGCATCTCTAAACCTCAGTTAACCTCTTTCAAAATACAGAGGCCCTCAAATAAAGAGTCCCTGCCTCAATTGTGATTATGTTGGTCTTCGTTTGCAAAATTATGGTAATTATTACTCACAAAGAGCACTTTCATATTCGTTATTCATTAATCTAACAAATATTCATTGTACCAGACACTGGGGAGGCAGTAGTGAACAAAAGAAACCTGGCCACAGGCTTATGGGGCTCACAGAGGCATTGAGAAGTTGTTTGCTATCAAATAATTTCAAAATTGTAGCAAGGACCGGCTTGGGCAGTGCTGGTCAGGAACGCTGTCATTTACGGGCCATGCCGCGCATCAGGAGCTTCACTTAATTTTATCATGCTGGCGTCTCAGGGCAAGCCCCTAGGGTAGGGTGGGCAGGTGTCATCGCCTGCCCTCACGACCAGACCCGAAGCCCCTGCTCCTGTCGCGGTCGCCGCCAGGTGACCGGAGCCGGGACTCTCTTGGAGCAGGGAAGGAGGAGATGCTGAACCAGCACGACTACGATTCGGCTTCGCTACAGGAGGTGCGGGCGCTGCTGCGGCGCCACGAGGCCTTTGAGAGCGACCTGGCTGCTCACCAGGACCGCGTGGAGCACATCGCTGCGCTGGCCCAGGAGCTCAAGTAGGCGTGTGCCACTGTCGGGCCGGTCCTGGCGACCACGCCCCTGCTTGGCTCCGCCCCTCGACAGCAAGCCCCGCCCCGCTCCCCGCTGCCCTCTAACCCAGAGGTGGCACCCATGTTCTCCCGCATCATCACTCGCTCCACCCCTCCCGGAACTTCATCCCCTACCCACTTTGATGCCCACCCTTCCCCACAGGCCTGCCCCCCCAACCTGGCCACTCCCTTCACTTTGGGCCGCAGCCTGCTACCCCAGACCTCCTCCCTCAGCCTCAGCCTTGCCACTGCTTCCTATAAAGTCACCCCTTCTCACATGACCTCATGCCTGAAGCCCCAAGCCCTGCAGCTCCAGAGACAGCTGAGGACCGCAGGCACCCACCTTCCTGTAGGAACGTTGGGGGGGGGCGTGGCCCCTAAGAGACTAGGCTGCCTTATGCCTTTAGCCACCACCCTGGGCGCTGGTTCCAGCCCGGGGAGGGCAGTTGGGAAGATACAGATTAGGGTCTTGCTCTACACTCATCCCCTTCCTTCCCCCAGTGAGCTGGACTACCATGACGCAGCTTCGGTCAACAGCCGCTGCCAAGCCATCTGCGACCAGTGGGACAACTTGGGCACGCTGACCCAAAAGAGGCGGGACGCGCTAGAGGTGGGGGTGGGGTCAGGGAGCTGGGGATGAGGCGATGTGACCACAGCAGGCTGGCAAGGAGCAGCTGACCCACTGCGCCCTTGGCCCCCTAGCGGATGGAGAAGCTCCTAGAAACCATTGACCAACTGCAACTGGAGTTTGCCCGGCGAGCAGCACCCTTCAACAACTGGCTGGACGGAGCTGTGGAGGACCTGCAGGATGTGTGGCTGGTGCACTCAGTGGAGGAGACCCAGGTGGGTGCAAGTGTTCTGGGGGCGCTGAGTAGACGACAGGAAAGCTGACCCTTAATCCTGCCAACATCCTGGGGAATGGGCATGGGAAGAAACACCAGTTCTGGAGTGCTGGGCTGGGAGGAAGAGGCCTGGACTGCTGGAGGACACTGACTGATCCTTCCTGCCTTCATCCTTAGAGCCTACTAACAGCACATGAGCAGTTCAAAGCAACATTACCTGAGGCTGATCGAGAGCGAGGCGCCATCCTGGGCATCCAGGCAGAGATCCAGAAGATCTGCCAAACATACGGGCTACGGCCAAAGTCCACCAACCCCTACATAACCCTCAGCCCACAGGACATCACCACCAAATGGGACACGGTCAGTGCCACTGGTAGCCATGCAGCCACTCACCCACTCTGGCACACTCAAACCATCTCTGGTGCTCCAAGAGAAGGGGAATAAAGTCCAACTGTGGCAGATCTAGTTCTGCCATAGACTCCATGTGGCATAAGCCACTTTGCTGTTTGTAGTCTCATCTGTATAATGGCCACAACAGCAGCATTCTCCTATCGGGACTCTACAGAATGAAACCTGCGTGGACATCTTTCACAAAACCGTATTACAAAGATGGAGTGGTTTGCCCCACATCTTGTCCATATAGCCCAATTCAGCTCACAGAAGCTATGATTTGAGGGGCTGGAACCTATTTTTCCTCAGAGCCATCCCCTGGTCCCTAGGGCATTAGCTAGGCACCTGGCACAACCACCCTCCTTCCCAGGTCCGAAAGCTGGTGCCCAGCCGTGACCAGACGCTGCAGGAGGAGCTGGCACGGCAGCAGGTGAATGAGAGGCTCCGGCGACAATTTGCTGCCCAAGCCAATGCTGTAGGACCCTGGATCCAGGCAAAGGTGGAGGTAAGGGCTCCTCAACTGGGAGAGTGGAGCCAGGGCTGGGTCACAGGGATTGGGGGGCCCTCATCCTGCTCGGGTACCCCTGCAGGAGGTGGGGCGGCTGGCAGCAGGGCTGGCTGGCTCTCTGGAGGAGCAGATGGCAGGGCTCAGGCAGCAGGAGCAGAACATTATCAACTACAAGAGCAACATCGACCGGCTGGAGGGTGACCACCAGCTGCTACAGGAGAGCCTGGTCTTCGACAACAAGCACACAGTCTACAGCATGGAGGTGGGGTCCCATCCTTTGGGGAGAAAGGGATGACAGCACAGGCTGGGGAAGCCTGGGGTGATCACAGCTGGACAAAGCATGTCTGCCCCAGTTCAGCTTTTTGAGGTCTCCCAACTGTACCCATGGGGATACTGAGACTGAATGATGGAAAGTGACCTGTCCAGAGTCATCAACCAGTTGAAAGCCAGGCCAGGATTGGCCATGGCTAGTCCATCAATCCCTAAAACATAAGCGATCAAACTCGAAGCAGAAGGGCTATTTGGGTCACTCAGTGGAACCTCCAGATAGGGACAGAGGCCCACTGAGGGGGAGGACTTGCCCAGGGTCACACAATGAGGAATAGAGCTAGAGTAGGAGCCAGGTGCTGGCCGCTTGCTGATTGACCCATCTCCTGCTCTCTAGCACATCCGTGTGGGCTGGGAGCAGCTGCTCACCTCCATCGCCCGCACCATCAATGAGGTGGAGAACCAGGTACTGACCCGAGACGCCAAGGGCCTGAGCCAGGAGCAGCTCAATGAATTCCGGGCATCCTTCAACCACTTTGACCGGGTTAGTAGAGACCCAGCCCTGTGAGGTAAAAAAAAACTTGGGGGCTGGTGCAATTTGAGAACTAAGCCCGATACTTTATCACCCCCTACAGAAACGAAATGGGATGATGGAACCTGATGACTTCCGCGCTTGCCTCATCTCCATGGGCTATGACCTGGTGAGGGTCCCTTCTCCCCCGAGTGCCCTAAGTGCCCTCCTCCACATTACCACCTATTGCCTGCCTCCCCCTTCACCTTCATCTCTACTCATTACACCCACATGGGAATTAGCAAAGACTCAGAAAGGTAAATTAACTTGGACCTTGTGCGTGGCCCCAAGGTTTGAGGTTGCACCATTTTTACCTCCAAGAAACAGCACTACACAGCTGAGAATGGTGGACACACCTGTAATCCCAACTACTTGGGAGGTGGAGATTGAGAGGATCATAGTCTGAGACCAGCACCAGGCAAAAATGAGAGGCCCTATCTCTCGAAAATGAGAGACCTAACTAAAGCCAAAGAAGGCTGGGAGAGTAGCTCATGTGGTAGATCACCTCAAACCCCAGTGCTGCCAAAAAACCCCAAAAACAAACAAACCAAAAAAGCAGCAGCAGCACTACAGAGTGGGTGTAGACCCAAAAAACATCAGGATCAACAAGCAACAGAGAGCCTTTGCCCTGGGCATGAAGCAGGTTTCAGCCAATCAAGAAGGACTCTGGTCTGGTCCTTCCCAGAGTCCCACTGACTAAGGTCTTGGGAGGAAGGGAGCACCCTGTCACTGGTCTTGTGCACACCAAGGCTGAGCAGTCCCCAGGAAGGGACATAGGGACCCTTCTTGGCTTTCGCATTTACAGTGCCTGGCCCCCATCTCTGCAGGGAGAAGTGGAGTTTGCTCGCATCATGACCATGGTGGACCCCAATGCAGCAGGAGTGGTGACCTTCCAGGCCTTTATCGACTTCATGACTCGAGAGACAGCAGAAACAGACACGGCTGAGCAAGTTGTAGCCTCCTTTAAGATCCTGGCAGGAGACAAGGTGAGTCTCCAGTGGTGGAGAGCTGGCAGACTGGGGCAGGGCACAGGACCTGCAGGCCCTCAATGTCTCCTCTCCTCCAGAACTACATCACCCCTGAGGAGCTGCGGCGGGAGCTCCCAGCTGAGCAGGCGGAGTACTGCATCCGCAGAATGGTACCGTACAAGGGATCTGGGGCTCCAGCTGGAGCCCTGGACTATGTGGCCTTCTCCAGTGCCCTCTACGGGGAGAGTGACCTCTGATCTCGACCCCTGTGGTTCTTGATGGAACTAGGAGAGAGGGTGTTCCCATCCATCCCTCAAAGATGAGATCAGCCAACCGCATTTTTCTGAATAAAGATTCATGTGCAGACCTCTCCCCATCTTTTGGTTCCTGAAGCAGAAGCTGGGCCCACAGGCTCCTGGGCAGACCTAACTACCCCACCACCTTGACATGCCAGGGGTCCCCAGTGCACCTCCTTGCCCCTAGGGACTGAACACTTGCGCCACAATGGGGACCAGGACACCTCTTTATTGCTGTTAGAGAGGGTGGTTATGTTTCCTGGATATGGAAGGGGACATGTCCCAAATCCAGGGGGAGTAGAAAATTTATAGCATGAGACAGAGGACAGCCAAGGCAGAGCCAGAGCCTACTGAGGACAGAGCTGGGTTAAGATTGGAATATTTTTGTCCTGCTCCTTACCCGCGCCCGGGGTTCTTGCCTCAGCTTCAGCTGCCATGAAAACATCCTTCACCCCAGGATCCTCCTGGCTACCACAGTTCACCGAGGGTGCAGCTGGGGAACCGCAGGGTGGGAGGAGGTGGAAGGAAGAAGGGGCCCAGTGCCTCCTGCTCACTGCCTGTTTCCCCAGCTGTGCCTCCTGGGGAAGGGTCTGAACATACGGGCTGGGGAAGGGGCTGCTCTGGTCAGCACCAGGTCCTGCGCCAGCACCTTCCTCAGTTCACCACTGCCGAGGTAGCCATGGTGTTCACACCGCAGGCTCCAGACCCACGGTGCAAGTAGTAGTAACCCTGAGGGAGAGCGGAGGTTGGTGAGGGCACTTAAGTAGGATGGGGACTGGAGGGCAAGGGGCCAAGTGGGCAAGACTCACCTCCTCACCCCAGTCAGTGCCCCAGCTGTTCTTGATGGCCCAGAAGGGAATGTCAGAGCCTGTGGAGCAGTGTGGAGTGCAAAGGGTCAGTGGTCCCCAATTCTCCACTCAGAGCCTCAAGCATTTTGCCCCTTCACAAACCTGCAGTGGGCCTCCTTGTGAAAGGTACCAAGAAAAGAGCAGAAAGCAGGGAGGCCAGCATCCCACCCTCATGGAGATCTGGCACAACTCTGGGTCACAGGATAGGCACCTGACCACCCACCTCTAGCGTAACCATTCAACCCTCTACAGCCCCAGCTTCCCGTCCACAGAGGACAGGGTTTCTAGACATTTCCCTGAGCTCCCTTTCAAAAGGGCCTGAAATGCTACTGTTCAACCCCTGCTTGTGACCCTTGGTGGATGGATGGACAGAACTCACGGTTGCCATAGCCCACAATCAGCACAGCATGGTCGATGAACCAAGGGCTGCAGAGGGGCCGGAGTGGGCGGGCGATGCCGTGGCGGTAGAACTGAGGGGGAGGAGAATAAGGAGGAGGGACCAGCTCTGAGGAGAAGTGGGGAAGGGATAAGCAGGAGATGGCGCAGGGGCAGCAGGATCAGGACCTCACCTGCATGCCAAAGGCATTGATGGCAACAGAGATCGGGCCCTTCTTGGCCAGCCAGGCCGCCAGCTCTGAGGGGGAAGGGCAGCGTCAATGGCACGTTGGCCCAGCCCTACCAGCCTGGCCTCCTTCTGCCCCCTACTCACTCTGCTCATTCTGGCTCAAATCCACTGAGTCATTGATGTAGACCTTGACCTTCTCTTCAGAGAAGTTGCAGGCCTCCATGTGGCCCAGGTATTTGTAGTCATCCTCAGTCTCCAGCCCTCCTGGGAACAGCCGGGGTGGAGAAAAAGTGGACCGCCATTTATCTCTTGCTTGCCCTCTTATGTGAGGCCTCACGCTCCTCGTCCACCCCAGGGCACAGGCCCTCCCCTCTGAGAAATCGCCTCAGTCCAGAAATGACACAGCTGGGGGCTGGAGGAGGTGGGAGTGACCAGCAGACACAGGACTTCACCCCCAGCTCTGCCTCCTCACTGAGGGCTCACCCTGGCCTGCCTGGGACTTGTAACACTGACCTCCTTGTCCTGCTCTGGCAATCCACTCCTAATCTAGCTCAGACCCCTGTCAGTCTCTGTTCAGCCACTCTGGTCCCTCAGCCCTTCATCCTGCCACCGCCACCCACCGCTGAACTGAGCTGCTGGGGAAGTGTGGTGCTGCCTGATTTGGCAGCACTATAAAAACAGACCTCCAAGCAGCAAAAGCGCCAAGAGCCCCTGTTCACCAAGTTCCTGTTATGCACCAGGACTTTACGTCCACTTTCTCACTGGACATTTAAGGCAATGCTGCAAAGTGGGCGTGGTAAGCACCATTTCACAGATGAGGTAACTGAGGTTGACAGAACTGACTTGAGCAAGGTCTTCAGCCAATATAGGTCAACATTAAGTCTGGAACCCAGTTCTGTGTGAGCGCCCCATGCTCAGGTCTCTCCCCCTTCCACAGGGAGAGGTGGCACCTCCTGTCCCTCCAGGCCCCAATGACACGTACCCAAACTCTTTATGGCCATGTAGGCACTGGAGGGCAGGCCACCCAGGCAGGCCTTGTCCATCTTGTCACAGTCCAAGAGCTCTAGGAGACAGAAGGCTGGTCCCAAGGAGCCCTCCACAGGGGCTGGGCTGGGGACAGGAGGGTGGAGTGGGAATGCTCACCCTGCTCTGAGAGGGAGAGCAGGGTCCCCTCCTTCAGGAACCACTGGCCTTCCACATTGCCTGTGACAGAGAAGGCCCAGCAGGAGCCACACATGCCCTGTAAGAGACAGGCAGGGTCAAGGCTGGATCCCTTCCCCCACCCCATGCAGGATACATGTCCCACCCTCACTTCTAGGGCTCCAACCTGGTCCTTGACTTTGGTTACAGCTCCCTTCTTCCGCCAATCCCATTCAGGTGGAGCGGGGTCATTTACAGACGTGGCTGGGTGCATCTTGCTATGCTTCTCTCGTAGTAGGGGGTTCAGGTAGATGGTGTGGAACTCCTCCTCTGTGGGCAAAGTGGACAGGGCATGGAGGGATGAATATATTAAGCTAGACCTGATGAGGGGTCTTGGAAAAAAGCCCTGTCTCTCCTAGCCTCTATGAGGGCTCTGGTCATCACCCCGTACCTGTGAGGTCACTGAACTTGGTGACCCCATACTGAGCTGTGCCACGGTCCAGGGCCTGGATCTTCTGTGCTCGTACCATGTTTCTGGCAAAGACTGTCAGGCGCCACTGGGTTTCTGAGAATCAAAGAATGGGAAAGGCAGGTCATGAAAGGAAGGGTGTGGGGGGGCTGCTAACAGCAGGGGTTTCCCCAGGGTGTAGATGGACTCTGGTTCAGGATGGAAGCACTTTTTAAGGACAGAACCCTGGGGCAGGGAGGACTGGATCAGGGGAGCCCAACCTGCAAGTGATGAAGTGGGGGCCAAACTGGAGTGGTAACTTCCCAGATGTGAAAGCAGCAACCAAAATGGGGTCTAAAAGGGCGTTACTAAGGGACTAAGGACGTAGCTCAGTGGTAGAGAGCTTGCGTAGTATGCCGAAGGGCCCTAGGTTCAATCCCCAGCACCACAAGAAAACAAAAAGGACAATCACCTAGAAAGGCTTCAGGAAAGGGCATGGTGCCAGGAAGTATCCAGGAGAGAAAATCTGGCCTCTGCCCCATCCTACCCTGCCCAGAGGTATGGAGGCCCATGGTTTCTGACCAGGAAGATAAAATGGGAAGAGGCAAGTACTTGGGGTGGCTGCCCAGTCCTGAAAGTCTGCACAAGAAGTCAGGGACTGTGCCAAGTTGGAGGACGTCCCTGATCTGACTAGTACAGGTACATCCAAGCCAGGGTCCTCACCTTCTTTTGAATCGTAAGTCCGGTTATATGTAGTAACAAACTCCTTGAAGACTGAAGTCATCTTCACAGAAAAGTCCTGGAAAGGCAGAAGGGTCTTTGCAAGGAGTTCAGCTTGATCTGAGAGGCCCACTCCAGGGTGAAGGGAGAAGAAGGGGAATAAGGGATCAAGGCTCCTCACTTGGGGGAAGGAATCCTTATTCAGCAATGGAAGGAATGAATTCAAAGTCCAATTTCTGTTGTCTGGATTGGGTTGGAACAGAGAAGAAATCAAGGCTGAACCCTAAGTGAAGTCTGATTTGGGCTGTCCCAGTCTCCTTGGGCTATCCCAGCACCTGTAACCTTGGTATCCACTGGGCCACAGTCCCGCCTCAGCAGTATGTGTTTTCCTAGCTCATCCAGGATTTCAAAGCTGCAGAGCTGGAGGGAGAAGAAGCCAGTTTGGGGGCTGGGATGGGAACAAGGTCTGGGCAAGAGGAACTAGAGGCCCCTCAGATGAGAACCACCCCTGAGGTAATTGTCCCTGGGTGGAGAGGGAGACACTGCCAGCAGCCAACAACCCACCCTTTCAGATTTGGCCCTAGGAACCTGGGAAGTAACTCGGGGTAGGATTCTTACATCTTGACCTGACCCATTTTCCCAAATGCTGTTTGACTCAGCCTGGGGGCGAGGAACCACAGTACCCCCATAACTCACTAGGGTTTTCTTGGACACAGGAAGCTGGCACACTGTAGGGTCGTTGCACGGCGTCTCCTCCAGGGTGGCCTCCAAGGAGTACAGCGAGCCCTCGCCCGCCTGGATGGAGGAGCAGGTGAAGGGGACACAGCCACCCCCACCTCCGCACCCCCCTCTTTCTGTGGGCCCATAGCCCACCGGTGCCGCCCTGCCCGTTCCCAGTTTCCAAGGGTTCCTCTCTCCGACTGCCAGACCCGCACCCAAGTCTAGACCAAAGTTTCCCCCATCCCTGGGACTAGGCCCGGCGCCCGCTCCCCGCGCGTCCTCACCCGGCGGACGCGCCCGCGTACGGCTCCCAGCATCGCCCGCTTCCCCGCTGCCCGGCCGCGGTTGTACATCTCCAGCGCGAAGCGTGCGGGCTCCAGCAATTCCAGGGGCGCCAGCTCCCAGGCCTCCGAGTCAGCTGCCCGGGGCTTGACGGGTCTGGGGGCCGCGCCAGGGAGCAGCGCCAGGAGCGCCAGCAGCTGCAGCCACGGGGCCATGGCGAGGGCAAGGCCGGCGGCCAGGACGCACTGACCCACAGACGCGCGGACCAACCGACAGGGCGCCGGAGCCCGCGGCCAAGGGGGGCCTGTGTCCTCCCACTCCTCGGCAGCCAGGCGGCCAATGGGCGCCGGCCCCGGGCGCCTGCGCGCTCGCTTATTTACGCGAGGCACGTGGGATGCGTGGAGGCTGTGCCGAGGGAAAGGACGCTGGCGCGACAATAAACCTAACGTATCTAACATTCATTGAGTGATTCTTATATGTTATACATTGTATGACATCTCCCTTTAATCTTTATGCAATCCTATGAAGTAGGCGTTGTCCCCATTTTACAGGCGAGGAAGTACAAATTTACAGAGATTAATGACTTGTCAAACATCTGATAGATCAGGTGATCAAGCTGCGAAGCCAGGCTCTGGAGTCAACGGCCCCTTTGAGGCCGGTCTTATCCACAAAATGGCCAGTATGTTCCCAGTTCTGGCTGTGTGATCAAACGCAATCACTCAAATATTTAGCAACCGTTAAAGCAATTGTGCACAGGGTGGGACCATCCCTACAGGCATCCCTCAGGCATCAACCTAAGTTCCAGGGCTGCCAGGGGAGCGTCACAGCTGGAAACAAGAAACAGAGAGGAGGAAAAAAAAATCTCCAAGTGTAAATAAAGAATGATTCGGGAATGAACTAAATCTGAGATGCATGTTGATAGCAAGCCAGAGGCATCCTCAAGGGAAGGGCAAAGGAAGCTTTTATTATTAAAAGGGAGAAACTCTCATAAGCTGCTTGGATACAAAAATCCATTGTTCTTGGAGAGTGGAAGCAGGAGTTGGCATCAGTTCATTAGTAGAAGTGCTGTTGCTGGGAGTATCTTGTCTGTTGCAATTAAAGATAAACTGTCAGGAAAATCTGCAGTACCTGTGAAGTGTGCAAAGCTGTGGGGGTAATTAGGACTTTCTGATGGGTTTATTTTAGAAAGTCCTTGAGACATCTCTTACAGACAGGCAAGCCATGAACTGTGCCTTCCACACACACCGCCTCCCCCTCCATCCCAGCACCATGCTTTCAAATTTGCCTGGGTCTGACAAGAGTGACTTCATCTTTAGTGTAGCATATTTCACAGGAGGCATGAGTAAGCCGCATTAGGCAGAGTGCTGACTTCTCAGGGCTCAGGGGTTCCAGGTGTGCAGGAGCTTGAGCTTCTGAGGAGGTGGAGAGACATGAGAAAAGGATATTTTTCTGCTAGATGTTCCCAGCCGGAGATAGGAAACAGAGAAGAGAGTGTTTAAGGGAATTGGAGAAATCAGAGATGGGAACAAGGAGTTACTCTGGATTTGGAAGATGGGGAGAACTGATACTGAAGATCATCCTAGTCCAAACCTGACTTTTTACAGCCCCAGAAGTCTAGAGAGGAGAAGTGACGTTCCTGCTAATCAGAAGTTAAATGCTGGAGCCACATGGAGCTAGCTTAAGCAAAGCTCCTGGCTGCCACCTGAGATCTGAGAGGGACCAGCCTGAGGGACTCCAGCAGATGCTGATCTCTGTCTCCCTCCCTTGTGATAAGCTGTTTGGGGCTTCTGTGGTCTCTTACAGGAGACAGTCTCAGGTTCTTACGGTAGCCCAGTAAGGTCATTCTTGTCTCCACTTTAGCCTCAGTCTATTTGCATGTCCTCTGAGGTTCAAGCTCTTGAGCACCTCCAATCCTTCACACTCATGCTTCCTCCAGCTTAACTCCCAGGCATCTTTTTAAAAATTATATATGGATTAAGCTGAGCTTTGCCAAGAGCCTGTAGTCCCAGCTGTTCCAGAGGCTGAGACAGGAGGATGGCTTGTGCCAAGGAGTTGGGACCAGGTTAAAAACAAAAAACAAAACAAAATCCTAAGAATCAGACACTGGTAAGTGGCTTATGTCTGTAATCCTAGCTACTTTGGAGGCTGAGAGATTGGGAGGATGGAGGTTCGAGGCTAGCCCAGGCAAATAGTTCACAAACCCCACCTCCAAAATAACCAGAGCAAAATGTGTTGCAGGTGTGGCTAAAATGGTGGAGCATCTGCTTTGCAGGCATGAAGCCTGAGTTTGAACTCAGGGCTTAGATCTAAAACTTGTTCCTCCTGTTTAAATGAAGCTTTGTAAACATTGGTTTTTCCTTTCCCCATTCCCTCTCTTCTAGCCGCTGGTTAAGTGCCCAGCTAGCTCTGTTTGTAAAACATGAGACCCTAACATAAAGACGAGGTTTATTTTTAATTTATTTCCTATTAGGGTATCTCTCCAAAATATTTGTGGGTAATCTGCAAAAATTATTGCACTTTTTTTAAGACAGGAAATTGCAATGAAATATTTGCTTGTTGCTCATTCCCAGGTACCATGGTAATAGACTGATTTTATTCTCTTTTGCCACCAGGGTTTTCTGTCTGGTCGGTTTTGGAGTTTTGAGACATGGTCTCGATAAGTAGCCCAGGTAGACTTGAACTCACAATCTGCCTGCCTCAATCTCCCAAGGGCTGGGATTACAATCATGTACCACCAGGGTTTGAGAAGATCAACATCCTTTCTCACAGAGGCAAATGTTGCCCAGTGATGAAAACAGCTAGGGAGTGGTTCAATACTTAGACCATGGCCAGACAAAACTGACCTTTCCAGAAAAAGCTGGGGCAAACTGCAAGGTTTCCAATTCTGGGAATGTTTACCTGATTTATGGGCGTGGCAATCGACAACTGATAGTCTGAATTCACTCAAGATCACCTGCATATGCTTCCTGCCCTTGAAGAATGGTTCATATCATATAGAATGTTTTCCCAGAAAGTGAGTTACTTCTGAATTACTTCCAGGATAACAAAACTTCCCAGGATAACAAAACTCTCACTTCTCAGGATAACAAAACTCTTTCTGGGAGTGGGACATTGGAGGCAGTGAGGAGGGATTCAAAAAGAAGTCAAATTCACAGGCTCAGGAGTCACAGTGACACACCTGAGTTCTAATCTTGGTTCTGCCACTTCAAGTTGGCTATGTGACCATGGACAAGTTACTCTACTTCTCCAGCCGTTGTTTTGTTTTGTGATGCCTGGGATGGAACCCAGGGCCTCATGAATGCAAAAGTATATACTCCACCACTAAACTTCACCCCCAACTCTCTTTGGGCTTTTTTGGAGAAATAGGAAGAGAATAGAAATGCACCTCATTTATCATTTAAGCTTCTAGGGAAAACACTTGAAGAGGAAGTCCTAAAGGTAGGTATGCAAGCCCAGGTCTCAGAAGGCCCACAAAGAGAAGGCCAAAGAGCAGAGCTTGGACAGTGGTACTTCTGCACACACTAGAGTTGTGAAGGGAAGATTCCTGTACCTGGAAATTTATATTTGGAAATGTGTCTGAGCATTTTTGATTATCACCTTGATTGGGGCTCCTCTGACCTTTAGTAGCCAAGGCCAGGAATACCAGACCTTCTTCCATGTTTGGGACAGTTTTATATAACATAGAATTGTTCCATGTCCTTCACAACTGTCTAATGTCCAACTGGTTGTTTATGTAAATAGAAAACCTGTTTACGATTATCTGAGCTAAGAACCCAAAGTCTGTTGTATATGTAAACACGTAATATTATGTGCACAATTTTAGCATACGCTGAATGTTGCAGTAATGCTATGAAAGTGTATGTCAAGGACAGAATTTTCCTTGATGTGTTCAGATCACTTATGAAGGGTTCCTTACCATTGCACAAGATTGTGTCTCTGGAGACAGATTGTGTGTGTATCAGCATGTATTTAGAGTGGTTTCAGTTAACTTCTTTATCTTTTCTCTCTCTCTTTTTTTGCAGTACTGGGGCTTGAACTCAGGGCCTTCATCTTGAGCCACTCCATCAGCCCTTTTCATGATGGATATTTTTTGAGATAGGGTCTCACAAACTATTTGCCCAGTCTGGCTTCAAACCTCAGTCCTCCTGATCTCTGCCTCCTGTGTAGCTAGGATTACAGGCGTGAGCCACCAGCACCTGGCAACTTCCTTACCTTCTAGTGTGATCCTGACTAAGAATATGCATATAGAAGCACAGATTTCTTTAGCATAAATTTCTTTTATTCTCTCTTTCCTTGATTTTTAAAATTATGAAGACATATGTACATCAGGCACAATCTAGATGTTGGGGATGGAAAGAGGACATTGTCCAGTATTTGTTGTTCAAACAGTATATTGGATCTGAAACAGTGGGACAACCCGGGTAGACTAACTCGGGTTCTTAACGCCACACCATGTATTAAGACCTGGGCACATGTCACCTCTCTGAGTCTCAATTTCCTGTGTAGATTACCTGATACCTAAGTTCCTCCCCTTCATGTTTGTTCGCAGAATGGTAACTGTCAATATTATTATTATACTGATTCCTTTGTAACTCAAGTATTATAAGACCTTTTATTTTCCCTTAAAAATTATTTGTACCCCATCTACCACATATTTATTTTGAGGATCCTCCTTATATCCCACCTCCAAGTTTTTCTATCATCCTGAGCCATGTATTTAATATGACTTTTTTCCCCTCCAGTAAGTCTGGTGTTCACCGCTGCTATTACTTCTTTCTGACACGCGAAGGCGCTGTTGAGGCTTGATCTTGCACGGTCCAGAGCTCAGGAGCCCTGGTAGAAATTGAAGGGCACTCTCCCTGCCACTCAGCCACTGCCCTCCAAATCACAACCACCAGCTCAGGGAAGCAGGATCAAAGGATTTGAGATCTCAAACTTAGCCAAAACGGCACAGTTTTTTTTTTTTTAATCTCTACCCTGCCTCAAGAATCTGCCATCCCTGCATATGGCACCAGTTGTCCAGTCCAGAGATCTGGAAGTGACTTTGACTCCCTTTTCCTTGATGCCCCCATCCAGCCCATATTTGAGTGCTCTGGATCCTCCCTCCCAGTATCTCCTAAATCCATCCACTTCTCTCCATTCCCACAGCCACCACTCATGGCCAAGCCACCGTCATCGCTTGCCTGACTGCAATCATCTATGCTCCACACAGCAGCTGGAGGCACCTCCT